GCGGACAGGAGGTCTCAGGCTGGGGAGCCCAAGTCCAGCTGGACAGGGCTCCCACTGCAGCAGCCGGCCTCCCTGTCTGCAGGGCTGGGACAGCCTGGTCACCACAGCTCAGAGGACAGCCCACCGTATTCAGGCTGTGAGGCTCCGCCAGCTCTAGCGACACAGCTTACAGTCCAGGGGCAGCTCAGGGCTCCCCATCCGCCCGAGTCCTCGGCTCAGGCGCTAGCAGACGCCTCGGGGAACCAGAAAGCTGAGGAGAGCCTGGAACAAGAAAGGAAGAAGCGGTCGAAACCGGTTTGGCTCAGTGGATAGAGCATCAGCCTGTGGACTCAAGGTCCTGGGTTCGATTCTGGTCAAGGGCATGTACCTTGGTTGGGGGCACATCCCCAGAAGGGAGTTTGCAAGAGGCAGCTGATCGATGATTCTCTCTCATCGATGTTTCTAACTCTCTATCCCTCTCTCTTCCTCTCTGTAAAAAAATCAATAAGATATTTTTTTTTTTTTAAAGGGACTGGGAGAAAGAAACTCTTCAATGAGAAGAAAACTGAACAAAAAGAATACAACCACAAAGATATTTAGTTTAAAAAAAAAAAACTAAGAGAAAACAAAGACATTTAATTTTTTTAAATATTCAGACAACATAAAAGAACTCTTATAAGTGAGAGATGATAGCAAAAATTTTAAATCACTAGAAGAGTTAGTATATAAAGATAAGGAAGTTCCCTAAAAACAGAGCAAAACTTATTTAAAAAGGAGAAAATTGTAAATTAAAGGACTAGACTAGTCAATTCTGCATCAGCACAATAACATCCCAGAACGATAAAATGGAGGGAAGGAAATAACCAGAGTAATTCGAGAAAACTTCCAGAACTGAAGAATTGGGGTTTCTAGACTGCTCCAAGTACCAGCACCCTGTGTGCAAGGAGACCACCGCGGGTCCGTCAGGGCTGGCTCTGCCCAGCGGCTGCGACAACCAGCCCAGGACCCTGAGGCTCAGATCAACAGAGGGGTTCTTCGGGTAGATTCACACTCAGAGACAGGGCTCTGCACATGAGCACCGACACCTGGAACACTTGGAGAACCTGCCTTCCCAACTGCTGGCCCAGAAGTGAAGCGGGCACCACCCAGCCCGGAGCACGGTGATTACATGAGGCCACCAAACTCCAGGAGTGAGGAAAGGCCAGGGTCAGAGATCTGGACATATGCGGTGAGGGCAAAAAGGTCCTGCAATCCTCCAGAAAAGCATGCAAATCCCAAAAAGGGACTGGCCTGACACTCCTCGTCCACACGAGAAGCCCAAAAAGGAATGGAACATTGCCTGTAAAATCCTGAAGGAACCCTTTTCTAGAATTAAGTTTCCAAAAGCTCCTCCTGAGCATATCTATGAAGAAAGTGAGACATCAGGAAAAGGAAGTCAGGAGACAGGAAGTGTGTGATGGGCAGAGCAGTCTGAAGGCTGGGGCCCTCCTTCAGGAAGAGGCCCTGCTGCTTCTGAGCATCCTGCGGGAAGACTCCAGCAACCAGCAAAGCGTTTGGTGTTGAAGCAGCAGTAGCACCTCAAAAGCAAAGTAATTAAAAAAAAAAAAAAAAAAAACCTTTAGCTCCAAGGAAAGCAAAATGTACAGCATAACTCACTATGAATGGCTTTCAGTCACACACATGAATGTTAAATGTTGATCTCCCAAAATCCCACCACACCCACATGGGGAAGGTGGGGAAGGGGTAATGAGCATGGGAGCACAGAAAAAGAAGGTAAACAATCACCTTTCAAACAAGAAAGTCACGGGGTAATAAATATCTACAAATGAAAACTCAATAGGCAGAGCATTCCATGGCACAAAGAGAAATACCAACATAATCAGCTAGAAGCCAAGTGCTCGCCTCTGCGGAGGGGAAAGTAGTGGCAGGGAACTCTGTTTTGCCTAACGCCTGTAGAGGCTATTTGACTTTTTAAACCATGTGCATGTTTTAAAAAAAGAAAGAAAAAACAGAAACTAGAGCCGAGTCTCTGCCAAGGGAGCTACCTCGTAGGTGGACCGGATTTTCAAACAGTCACGCCTCAGAGGCTTCCGATGACCTGCTAGCACTGATCTAAACGCCACAAGGGCTGAAACGTGTACCACACAATCCCTGTCCTCAAGGGCTGGTGAGAAAACACAGGCCTGGAAAAGAATGCCAAGTGCAATCAAGTGGGCATATGCTCACCACCCTGAGCATGGCAGGGAGTTATGTGGTAGCGAGAAGGGAGCCTGGACCCCAGGAGGCACTAAGGACTGAGGAAAGGGGAGCAACAGCCAGAAGAGGTGGAGTGAGAAAGATGAGCAGAACCTGAGAGAGGAACAGGGAGAGCACGTCTAGAAGGAAGCTGGCTAACAGGGACAACAATGTGTGTAATTTGGGAGTATGGACAGTTTTGTCAACACAGGTGAGATTTTACTCATATTGGGCTGGTAAAATTATTAATAAGAAAAAGTAGACACTAAAAATCACAGAAGTCACTGTTAAGACATTTTCAGTGTCCTTCAACACTATCAGGAGCCTGTGATACTCTTCCTGCAGTGTCTCGGCTACACCATCCCGGCTCTTTAGTACCACTGCCTGCCCTCGTCTTCACCCCTCACAGTTAATTTCGCCCACTTCCTAAGCCGGCACAGGCCTCTCCCAGGCTTCCTGCTCAGGCCCGTCTGGGGGGACAGCCTCATCGCTATACTTCATTTTCCCACGCCAAAGCCACTACCCTGCTTTACATTCCCAGACACTCCATGCTCCTGGCTGCCTCAGGACCTCTGCACATGCTGTTCCTTCTGCACACATTTCCTTCTTCACCTTCCTATTCATCCCTGCATATCCTTCAACTCTCAGCTCAAGCCTCAATTCCTCAGTGATATGAACGCGGTCCGCAAACTGTGGCTCTTTGCAGTTTGCCACACTCAAGGGGCCCATGCAGCTCTTTGGCCCCTTGAGTGTGGCTCTTCCACAAAATACCCCGGCCTGGGAAAGTCTAATTTGAAGAAGTGGCATTAGGAGAAGTTTAAATTTAAAAATGTGGCTCTCAAAAGAAATGTCAATCGTTGTACTGTTGATATTTGGCTCTGTTGACTAATGAGTTTGCTGACCATTGCTCTAATTCAAGAGTCTCTGTCATAAACTCTTACGCATTCCTTTCCTTCTACCAGTTTATATCCAATTTATGGCCATCTCACCTACTAGGCCAGTAGTTCTCAGTGGATCCCCAAACCAGAGCCAGGGTTTCCCAGTGAAGCTATTAGATATGCAAATTTTCAGTCCACACCCCCGACCTACAGAATCAGGAACTTGAGGAAGGAGGCAGCAACTAGTGTTTTACAAACCTTCCCAACCACTCAGATGCACACTGGAGTCTGCGACCCACTGCCCTAGCCTCCATGCCTGCAAAGCCTGGGTGCTCTGCCCTCCTAGTGACCCTTGGCACCAAGCACAGGAAGGAGCTGGTAGGATTCCCTGGTTGAATGAATGGTGGATACCTTTCCATGCCTCTCCTGGATCCCCTGCCCTATTGATTCTAAACCCCGCTGTCTAACTTTGGAAACCCCCATAATCAACAGGAGCCTGTGGCACAGCGGCTCTAGGCCCCAGCTCCCTGGCCTTTCTAGGTTCAAAACTTGATTCTCCACAGCTTATTGTCTGTGTGACCATCCATAAATTTTCCTAATTTATCTTGACCTTACTTTCCTCACTTCTAAAATGGATGTAATTATGTACCTACTTCCCAGTGCTGTTGAAATAATTGAATGAGACAATGAGAGAGACTCATGCCTGTACACACAAGGTAAGCCCAAGCAAATTTTGGTGTTATTATTGTTGTCAAAACAATAATTATGCAACTTTAAGTGGTCTTTCCCTAGGGTCTTAGCTTTCTTAAAACTGTCCACACACTTCCTCCCTGGAAAACTGCTGCATCTAACACCCTCCTTGCCTAGCAACCAGAAGCCCTTGCGGGAGCGTCCTCAGCCCCACCTCCCGCCGAGCTGGGCTCCACCAGACAGGCTGGGTCTTCCCAGTGCTCCACCTACGTCACTTTCTGGAGTCCCTTCTCACCTCCGGAACCAGAGCTTGGAGACTAGTTAGCAGGTGGTTTCATTTCAGTGTGTCTGTCTGGTGGCCAGGATTCAAACGGAACTCACACTGGGCGGCATTTCTGGCCCACTTTCGGTATTTGATAAAGAACTAATAGCAACGATTAAAATATGTTCCCACTGAACTGATCTTAAGTTAAAAAACAAAAACGAAAACCGGTTTCAGTCTCTAAGACACAAGGATCAACGCCTGCCCTGTCTCGGTGCGACCTTGAGTGATGACAGCACGAGAACCGCACACAAGGAAGCGCCTGCCCGCTGGGCCAGGGCGGCCCGGGGAGCCCAGCGCCGCGCCCGGACCGCGCGCCCGCACACCGGGGAGCTGCCCCGGCCGGGGGCCCGCAACGCTGGCTCCCCACAGGTAAACGCTGAGTAATTTTCCTGTGGAGCAAACAGTGCAGCGGGTCTATGCCAACGTCAACAGTATTTGTATCAGACTTAACAGCACGGCACTGCGGCGCGGGTCCCCGGGGTGTCCGGCGCGGCGCGCTCCGGTATCGCGGCGGCCCCTGGGGCGGCGTGTGCAGCAGTGCCGCCGCCGGGGAGCGGGAATCAGGGGCAGTGGCTGGGGCCGGGTCCCGGGGCTGGCCAGGGAGGGCGGCCGCGCGGGGCCCCGGTCACTGCCCTCCGGGACAAGGGCCTCCGCGCCGGGCCTAACCAGTCAAGGGTCTTCGCCCAAGTTGGCCGGCTGCTTTGCCACAAAAGTGTAAAGAGCGAGAGTCCGAAGCCCCCGGAAAAGGGCGGGAGCAGGAAGGCAGGCCCCCAGCGAGGGGGACCCGGCTGCAGGGCCACCCCGGGGCTGCACACAGCCCGCGGACCCTCGCCCGCCGCCGCCGGGCGCCCAGGAATGAATGAGGCTTCCCGCCGGCACCGGCGCTCACTCACAGGCGACGTAGGCGAGCAGCGCGACGCCCAGCAGCAGCTTCATCCTCCGGCGGTTGACCGCAGACACGAGGCGCAGGAGCGTCTTGCTCACCATCCCCGGGAGCCCGCCGGTCCAGGGCCCTGCCGCGGGGGCGCCTGCTGCACAATGCGCGGCGGCAGCAGCGGCCCAGGAGCCCCGCCCCCAGCCGCCCGCGAGGCCCCGCCTCCGCGCGCCGGGTTTCCTCCTGGGAGAACCACTGCGCATGCGTGGCTCCGCCCCGTCCCGCCCCCTCCCCGCCGCCGCCTCTCCCCGCAGGCGCACTGAGGCAACTCCGCCTGGGCCTTCGAAGAAAGTAGCCGGGCGGGGCGGGCGCGCGCATGCGCCCGCAGGCGTGTTTCCCGGAGCGGTGGCTGGCGCGGGAAGGAGAGGTCTGTCTCCAGCCTGAGGGCGGCGCCGCGGTTGCTAGGTTTCCGAACCCAGCCCACCTGGAGGCGCGGTGGGCAGGCAGAAGTTGCGATGAAAAGAAATATTTGTGCTAAATTTGGCCGTGTCTTTTTGAAGTTCTTTGAAGGCTTTCCCTAAAAAAGTTGACCAGTTCTCGGGGCTGTTTTGTTGGTTTTTTTAGTTCCAGTAACAGCAGAGAAAATTATTAATCTCTAAAACATTGCTGAAGTCAAAACCCCGTGCATTTTTCTGTGCTGTGATCACCTGGATGTCTTTTAAAAAATAAAACGTTTATTATTATTATTATTACTTTAAAAAAATTGTAAAAAGTAATGCTAGCCCTAGCTGGTTTGGCTCAGTGGAGAGTGTCAACTGAAGAGTCCCAGGTTCGATTCCTGACTAGGGCACAATGCGAGGGTTACGGGTTTAATCTCCAGTAGGGGGCGTGCTGGAGGCAGCCATCAATTATTCCCTCTCATTGATGTTTTCATCTCTCCATCTCCCTTCCTCTCTGAAATCAATAGAAATCTTATTTTTAAAAAAGTAATGTTAGTGGTGTAATTAGGACAAACCAGGGAAAGGATAAATCACGCTGAATTTGCCTAAAGAAAAACAACGCTGGCATGTCATCCTGTGTGTATTTCATCCCAATTTGTTGAATGTGTATATTTTAACATAGTTAGGGGGTGCATTATGGTGGTGGAGTGATTGCATATGTGGGACCTGAATTTATTTTTTTGATTAGCACTTATTGGAGTCCCACTTCAAGCACGGAGGATACAGATACCATTATCAGAGCCACAGAAACACTGGTCCCATAAGAGAGAAAAGATGGCACCCCCAGATCTCTGTTGTCAAGAGAAACCCCCAAGAAAATATTGGGGAGCTGCTCACTAGATATGCTGCTTTTCAGCCACAGGGAATAACCAAAGCCAGCAATGTCGCTGGCCTCTGGGCTCCAGACCCCTTTGCTAAACTTAACAACCTAGTGCCCTTGAACTTTACTTAAAATGTCAGACTGAAGCGGTAAGCAGATTCCAAGCATATTAGGTATCTAGTAATTCAAGAAGGCTAGAAATTGTGAAATACATGTTATTTCTGTACAAAACTCCTTCAAACCCAGCATTCCTAGATAAGTGTTTTCTTGCCACCACACACTGTTGCCAACTCCTCCTGCCCCACTGGACCAAGTATATGGAAATAGCATCAGCTGCTGTAGTTGGGAATACTGCTGCTGTCATTATTGCCATCTAGAAAGCTCAAGACCCTGATTTTCAGTTCAACCAAAGCCAGAATTACGGAGTCAGCAATAGTAATTGTGCACCTGTGCCTGTGAGAACGCAGGAGGAAAAGGCTGGGCCAAGGAGGCCCTCCAGGCTCATCAGGGAAACCGTGGGCTAAGGCCAGTTCACCCTTGCTGTTCCTTTCTTTTCTCTTCTTTCAACCAGCCCACCCCTCCTCCTCCTCAGGTTCTGGACTCTCATCCACTCCACCCTGACCTTGCTGTCTACTTTATTCCCTCCAACACTTCCCAGCAATTTCTAGTCACAAGGCACTGTTCTTGACAGTTGAGGTCATTAAAAAATGAATCATAATATGACTCCTTTTCTATATTGTAAAAAGCCTAAGAAAAGTAGAAAATGAGCATTTATTAAATTTCTATTGTGTGCCAGGACCTGTTATGTGGAATGCTTTCACATGGAACTTATTTAATTCTGAAACAGCTGTGGGGCCCTGACTAGAGTAGCCAGACTCTCAAAGCCAATTAGAGTGTGAAGGCCCTGTTCAGAGTACACCAGATGTTCAAGGCCACTCTGAGCATGCATGCTCATGGGACTTCCTCTGTTTTCTCCTACACAGATACTGACAACCCCATGTATATTTTCTGGCTATTGATGGCTTATCCCTATCTGTTTCTATTTTGAAGGTCATAAGGATACATTGTTCCCTAGTTTTGTTGTAAATGTTTTCTAGGAATTTCTCACTTAGATATATTAGGTATTTTAATTTAGGAGATTTGGATTTTAAAACTGTGCTGCTATGGTGCTAACATTACATGTCTATTCCAAGTTGTGTGTGTGTACACATGCGCATGTGCGCGTGCACACGCACGTGTATGTGCTCCAATTATTTTTAAAAACAAATTTACTGATATATAATTCACATACTACAAAATTTACCTATTTGAAGTGTATAATTTAGTGGTGTTTAGCATATTCACAGAAATTGCAATCGTAGCAACAGTAAATTTTGAAACATTTTCTTTTTTTGTTTCTTCCTTGTTCAGTTGTATCTTTCTAGAAATTCATCCATTTCTTCTAGGTTGTCCAATTTGTTGGCATATAATTGATCATTGTATTCCTAATACCTTTTATACTAGAGGCCCAATGCATGAAATTCATGCACCATGGGAGGGGGGGGGAGTGTCCCTCAGCCCAACCTGCACCCTCTCTAATCTGGGATCCCTTGAAGGATGTCCAACTGTCCATTTAGGCCCTTCCCAGTGGGATCAGATCTAAACAGGCAGTCGAATGCCCCTCTCTCAATCCAGAACTGCTGGCTCCCAACTGCTCGCTTGCCTGCCTTCCTGATTGCCCCTAACTGCTTCAGCCTGCCAGCCTGATCACTCCCTAACCACTCCCCTGCCAGCTTGATTGATGCCTAACTGCTACCCTGCCAACCTAGTTGCCCCCAACTTCCCTCCTCCGCTGGCCTGGTCACCCCTAATTGCCCTTCCCTGCTGACTTGATAGCTCCCAACTGCCCTCCCTTATAGGCCTGGTCCCTCCCAACTGCCCTCCCCTGCTGGCCATCTTGTGGTGGCCATCTTGTGTCCACATGGGGGCAGGATCTTTGTGTTAGCCATCTTGTATGTTGGAGTGATGGTCAATCTGCATATTACTCTTTTATTAGATAGGATAGAGGCCTAGTGAATGGGTGGGGGCCAGCTGGTTTGCCCTGAAGGGTGTCCTGGATCAGGGTGCAGGTTCTCTTGGGGCCCGGATTAGGCCTGGGCCAGGGTCCTATGGTGGTTTGCAGGCCAGCCACATCACCTCTACATCCCCCCGCCCAGTGACCCAAGCAGAGGCCCTGGTATCTGGGATTTATTTATCTTCTATAATTGAAACTTTGTAGCCTGGAGCAGAGCCAAGCCTTCTGCTCACTCCTTGGCCACAGCCATTTCTGTTGGTATTTATTTACCTTCTATAATTGAAACTTTGTAGCCTTAAGCAGAGGCCTGGGCCAGCAAGGGAAGGTGGAAAGCTTGGCTCCCTCCATCGTTGGGGAAACCCAAGCCTCCCTCCTGCTCTCTCTGGCCTCAGCCATCATGATTGGGTTTATTTGCATATTTGCTCCTGATTGGCTGGTGGGCATGGCTTGTGGGTATAGGGGAGGGATGGGCAATTTGCATATTACTTTTTTATTAGATAGGATTACTGTAATGTTGGTGGTAACTTCTCTTTCATTTATGATTTTATTTATTTGGGATCTTTTCCTTTATTTTTTTTTTATGAGGCTGGCTAAAGGATTGTGAATTTTGTTTATCCTTTCATTGAAGCAACTCTTAGTTTTACTGATTTCTTACTTTTTTTTTAAGTCTCTATTTTGTTCATTTTTACTCTGATCTATATTATTATTTTCTGCCTCCTACTTATTTTGGGTTTTGTTTGTTTTTCTCTTTCTAGTTTCTTCATGCATAAAGTTATGTTGTTTATTCTGGATTTTTTTTTTTTCTTGAGGTAGACCTGTATAGCTATGAACAGCAATATTAGAACTGATTTTGCTACAAGCCATAGGCTTTGGAAAGTTGTGTTTTCATTTTAATTGCTTCAAGGTATTTTTTATTTCCTCTTTGATTCATTAGTTGTTTAGTAGCATGTTATTTAGTCTCCATGTGTTTGTTTTATCCAGTTTTCTTCTTGTAGTTTTCTTGTTTCATACAGTTGTGATTAGAAAATACGCTTGATAAGATTTCAGTCTTCTTGAATTTATTAAGACTTGTTTTATGGCTAATGTGTGATAAGTCTGGAAGAGTGTTCTATATGTACTTGAAAATAATGTGTATTCTGAAGTTTTTAAATGAAATGTTCTGTATCTATTAAGTTGATCTGATATAATGTGATGTTTTTTTGTGTGTGTGTGTGTGTGTGTTTTTAATATATTTTTATTGATTTTTCACAGAGAGGAAGAGAGAGGGATAGAGAGTTAGAAACATCGATGCGAGAGAATCATCGATCAGCTGCCTCTTGCACACCCCCTACTGGGGATGTACCCGCAACCAAGGTACATGCCCTTGACCAGAATCGAACCCGAGACCTTTCAGTCTGCAGGCCGATGCTCTATCCACTGAGCCAAACCGGTCCCGGCTATAATGTGATGTTTAAGACCATTTTTTTCTCTTATTGATTCTGTTTAGATGACCTATTCATTGATGCAACTGGTGTAAAAAGTCCTCTCTTATTATTGTAAAACTGTCCATTTCTTCCTTTATATTTATTAATATTTGCTTTATATAGTTAGGTGCTCCTATGTTGGGCACATAGCTATTTAAAATTGTATTTCCATCTTGTATTGAGCCCTTTATTATTTTGTGACTAGAGGTCTGGTTCATGAAATTTGTGCATGCAGGGGGGTGGTGGGGTAAGGGGAGGACAAATTCCTCAGCCTGGC